ATTCTCTCTCTCCTTCTGCCCCTCTCCACTCATGTGCTCTCTCAAAAAAAAAAAAAAACAAAAACAAAAAAACAAACAAACAAACAAAAAAAACCTGGAACTGAGACTGGAGGTTCCACTGAAGACACAGAGTTTGCATTTTGAATCAAATCAAATTACCCCCCTATTTGTCTTAAAAGACAGTAATATATATTATGGAGGGCACGTATTGCATGGAGCACTAGGTGTGGTGCATAAACAATGAATTCTGTTATGCTGAAAAGAAATTTAAAAATAAAATAATATTAAATTAAATTTTTAAAAAACAGTAATATAAATAAATTCTTTGAAGGAATGAAAAAATAAATCCAGAGTCTTTGCAACCAAACTTGAACAATATATAGGAACAATCTAATATCACTGACATACATACAGGAAAATGTGACCCATTCTCAAGAAAAAAGAAAGAAAAAGATAATCCTGAAGATCAAGCAGACCCAGATGCTACAGTTAGCAAACAAAGATTTCTAAAACCACTATACTAATTGTGCTAAATTATAAAAAGCAAAATAAGGTCAACATAAATTAAAATGTAGGAAATTCATAAGAGATATAGAAAATATCTAGAAATAATCAGATGTAACTTCTATGACTGAAATATACAATTACTGAAATTAGTCACTGGGTGGGCTTAATATCAGAATGGAGCTTGAGGAAAGACTCTGTGAACTTGAAGACAGATGAATAGAAGCTATTGATTTTAAAAACAGAAAAAAACGACTGAAAGAAATAAACAGAGTCTCAAAGAAAGAAAAAGTACTTGAAGAAATAATGGTCAAAATGTTCCCAAACTCAATCAAAAACCCACATTATCAAAGGCTCTGAAATTTCCCAGGAAAGTCTAATGCTGAGACCTCTTTCTGCATTTCTTCTTAATTCTTGGGCACAATCTATAGGGCAGGGGAGTAGGTATATCCCCAAGGGTACAGCTCTGGGTAGAAAATGGGTACAAGTCAATGAGTAGGGAAAGACTTAGCCCACTACCAACGTTCCTGCTTTTTTCCTAGCATTTGAAGAAGATTCCAAATGCCTTTTCTCTTTTAGCTCTCTCCCAACCCCCACCCAACTCCATGCAGTTTAACCAAGAGTCTTGTCAATAAGTAAAGGAATATGTGCTACCGGCTTGCTGCCTTCTGCCCTTGAGCCAAACCCATCAAGTCAGAACCCTACTCCTCCTTCCCTCCTACGCCTCCAGTTCACTCCCCCACACATGGTCCCCCTCCCCTTAGAATAAAGATGCAACACCATCTTGAAGACTTACCTCCTTCCTCTCAGGTTATCCATTCCACCATCCTTAGAGATCTGCCTAACAAACTAATGTCCCAGAATGGGGCCCAAGTGTTTTACATGGTGACATGCCTAAGGGGAAATGAGGCTTGAAGTGCAAACCTCTTATTCATAAATTGATCTCCCATCCATCCAAACTAAAGGCAGATCCTATAGAAGAGAATCACCAAGGGCTGCAAGAGACTGCCTCGTGCTAAGAAAGGCTAAAAATCACAAGCATTCCCCTCTTGGCACCTGCTGTAAATCCCTAAGATTTACAGTCAGTAAGAGTTGTGTGCAGCTGTAATCATGCCTCATGCTGGGATGATAACCTTTCCAGAAACCAGGTGTTTTTTGTGTCTGGACTTAATCACCCAACCCAGCCAAGCCCTGAGCCATGTGACTTTTTGAAAATTCAGCAGGTGGCAGCCCCATGTCCAATCTCAGAAACTAAGTTGGGTCCCTTTACATAGAGAAGTGTCTGGGATGGTCAGGTAACAAGGGTTCTCAGGGCAGAGAAGTAACAATCCATGCTGATAGAGGGGTGTGCCGACACAGGGCTGACCCATTCCTTTCCCCAGAAGTCTCTGCTGGAGCACTCAGATGATGACTTCTCTACATTTCTTCAGACAGAAGTCTGCTATATATGCAAGAATACTGACCAGAGTCTCTGCTAAGTTTCTATGGTTCAGAAAACATAGTTGGTAACATCTTGGTTTTTGTTCATTTATCCTAATAAAAGCTCACTAGAACTTTTTTTTTTTTTTTTTTTTTTTAATGAATCCTGGGGACGCCTGGGTGGCTCAGTGGGTTAAACCTCCACCTTAGGCTCAGGTCATGATCTCAGGATTCTGGGATCGAGCCCCACATTGTGCTCTCTGCTCAGCAGGGAGCCTGCTTCCCTCTCTCTCTCTGCCTGCCTCTCTGCCTACTTGTGATCTCTCTCTCTCTGTCAAATAAACAAATAAAATCTAAAAAAAAAAAAAAAAAAAAAAAAACAAAACTGAATCCTGAGACGTTCCCAATCTATGAAGACTAGTGCCCAGCATGGCAGGCACAGGGCTGAGATACAATGAACGTGAGGAGCAGATGAGGGAAGAGATGCCCTCTGCTCATCTTCCCCTTGACTTCTCTCTCTGGGGAAGGACATAAAGGAGAGAAGAATTTCTGCTCTTCTTCCTTCTCATGGGTAACCTTGATCCTCTCACCTTTTCTTTTAAGACCCTTACAGTTACGAACAACTTGTTTTGGAACTTCTTTTAGGATCTGCAATCCTCCACTTTGGCCACATTTTGACATGAATGGTATTGTCACTCTGGCAGAGACAGAGGGAACTTCTGGATGATGGGTTTATGGCTTTTAGTGACATGAGGCAAGGATAATTGAGGACAGGTCAGAGGGGAAGCTTTCATTTTCGCAAAGCACCATCAGGAGGAAGGAAGGCATGTGGGGCTCCATATGGGGACCTCAGAGGTAGGTGATGGGGCAGGGCTCTTGCTACAGAGGACTTACCCTCATCCTCCTAAGCTTGTGACCAACAAATAAAGAGCAACCTTCAACATCCAACCCTCAAAACATTACATAAGCCTAGGACTCTTCATCAGCACTGACCAAACATTCTGCTTAAACCAAATCATGTAAGACGTCTGTCTCACATGAAGATGATCTGATTCAAGGAAGCCTGGATGGCTCAGTCGTTAAGTGCCTGCCTTCGGGTCAGGTTCATGATCCCACGGTCATGGGATCAAGCCCTGCATTAGGCTCCCTGTCCAGAGAGAGACCTGCTTCTCCCTCTTCCACTCCCCTTGCTTGTGTTCCTGCTCTTGCTATGTTTCTCTCTGCCAAATAAATAAAATCTAAAAAATTAAAAAGATGATCTGATTCAGGGGGAAGTGCTGAGGGGGAAAAAAAAAAAAGAGATGATCTGATTGGAGTCTTGCAACAGACATGGCCCTCAACTCCCTCCCAGCCTTAATATCAGGAATCCATCGGCTTCCTTTATCTCTTCATGGGTTTTTCTGCCTCATAACTCATACATGGACTTCCTTTGGATCTAGAACATAGCAGCTTTTTGTAGGAATCCTTCATGCCTCCAAACCACAATCTCAAAAGAGGATGTAAACAGGCCCATTGTGGGGAAAACCTGGAGGCAGAATGAGTTAGAGCCGTTCTGCTTCACCTGAACCACCTGGGACCTTTACTAGGAAAGCACAAAATTATGAGCTAAGAGGGAGCAATAGGAAGAAAATTTACCAGGTCTTGAGTCCTGTAATGTGCAAGCTCTGTGGTGCATTAATTTACATATTCTAGGATCTCCACCTCCCAGCCATCCCTGTCCTGTAGGGATGAGGACTGCCGGAGGCAGAGAAGCCATCCCTTTCTCAGGTCCCATTAGGGCTCGAAGTATACAACCTGGGACACTGCTCAACCGCCCTCCAAGATGTTTCTACTCCACTGGGTCACCAATCACAGATCACAGACCACCACCCAGGGGTCCCTAACCAGGTGTCAGCAGCAGATTCTGATAGCCTTGCCACATGCAGAGCAGACCCGAAATTGATCAGTTTCCCCACCCTTTCAATGGAAATATCTCTGCAGCCCTACTACCCTGAGCCAGGTGGTTCAGTCTCTCAAACTGGATTCTCTAAAGAATCTGAGTTTGGAGGTCAAGAGCAATCTAAAAGGACTTTTGAACAACACGGAGGTAAGGGATGCTGACCTCTGATGCATTCAAAATCCACACGTAACTTTTGCCTCCCCAAAACAAACTGTTAATAGCCTACTGTGAACCAGAAGCCTTACCAGTAACAACCAATTAACAGATTTTATATGTGATATGTGTTATATGCCATATTCTGATAATAAAATAAGCTAGAAAAAAAGCTATGAAGAAAATCATAAGAAAAAACATTTACAGCACTCTATCTATGGGGAAAAAAAAAATCCACAGGTAAATGGACCCATGTGGTTCAAACCCATTTTGCTTAAGGGTCAAATGCCGTTTAAGGGTCAAAATGGTCATTCTCGAAAAACATTCAAGGGGATCCCAATTCAGAGTCTGGGGCATGATTTCCAAACAGCTCCCTCCCTATCAAGTTTCCTTTCACCACTATCACCATCACTACTCCACCCAACCTGACCTGGAGCTTAGGTGCCAAAGTCCTGAACTCTCTTTCCAGCCTCCCCCACCCGCCATTGTTTCATCCCTTTATACTTTCTTTAACCTCCAACCCTTTGGTATGTAGATCATTTTAGCTTTCCTCACCCCTAGACTCGCAGTAACAATTCTTTCTCTGTAAGAGGAGGTTGGGAGGGGCACCTGGGTGGTTCAGTTGTTAAGTGTCTGCCTTTGACTCAGGTCATGAGCCCAGAGTCCTGGGATTGAGCCCCAAGTCGGGCTCCCTGCTCTGCAGGAAGCCTGCTTCTCCCTCTCCCACTCCCCCTGCCTGTGCTCCCTCTCTCACTGTGTCTGCGTCTCCCGCTGTGTCTGTGTCAAATAAATAAATAAAATCTTAAAAAACAAAAAAAGAGGTTGGAAAAAACTGAGCAGGCTAACAAATGTAGGATTTCCTTTCCGAGATACAGAATCAATGTACCTTGATGAACTAATACTGCATATTATACTCATATCGTACCTTAGCCCTGGACAGTATTCTATTCGTGAGCATTCACACATTTATTCTGCTTGCACTCACCTTGATGTGGTCAGGCCTTCCATGGGTATGGACCCTTTCTGGTACTCCATCTTGGGCTTGAAGGAGTCTCTGGGCAGGTAACAGTGATAAAGAGGGTAGTTCTCGGTGTATTCGGAGAGTAGACATGGTTTCTCTGTTTTATCATAAATCTTGGTAGGAAGATGTGGACAGTGATGCCGCCTATAAAAAAGACATAAGTCAGGTCTGTTATCTTCAGGGGAAGAATACAGCCAGTCTGACAATGCCACCTTCTCGAAATGGGACCCCAGGTTTTCAAATCAAGACGGCCAGCATTAAAAACAGGAACTTAACTTTTCTCTACTAAACTAGGAAGGGGCCAGAATTTTTTTTAATGCTGGATAGCTGCAAACGGCTCATCACCCAAATTCCTTAAATCACAACATTACACACAAGCATAACTGATGGTCAACCACAAAGATGCCATACTGCCTGTTTAAGCACAAAATACTTCCGGTACCCTAGTAGGTAAAACGCTGTGACCCCCAAGTCCTTTGAGGGATGCTCCAGCTGGTCTCCCAATCACCCAGCAGTTAGGGTTCAACACCTGACCTGACCCTGCACTGCGGGGCTGTGCACTAAGCCTTTCCTAGTCAGCTGGTTCCTGGGTCAACTCAGAATGTCACCTTTCCAGATAAGGGCCATCACACGGAGCAAAACCCCCTCAGTTCCGAGCTCGCTCCATGCCACTGACTACGGAAACCTGTTGCACACTGAAAGTCTGGCTCATCCTCTGCTCTCGCCTCAACTGGTGCCCCCACAGAAAGACTTCCACTGGTTATCTTCTACCTAAGATCCACCTAGCAGCCCTCCCCTGGCACAGAGGCTCTCTCATCCCCGCGCGGGCCTCTCCCACCACCTCCTGCTCGCCGTCATTGGCTGGTCTGCTGGTGAGCTTGTTCACGGTCTCTTGTCTCTCAAGCTCAGCACCTTCTCTGTCTTGCTCGCTGCTAGAGTCCCTTACCCTGCCTGGTACACAGCAGACTATCTGCCAATGAACGATTACTGAACAAATGACAAAATACGGAAGTATATTATTAAATAAACGTGAGATCTCATTACACAACTAGATGAGAGAAAATAATTTGAAGTTATAATTCACGGTGAGTTTTCCCATTTTGCACACATGGTAGTAAATGAACCTTGGGATTCTACTTATCGCTGGACAAAGGGCGGCCGTTGGAGCTCTCAAAACCTAAGCAGTCTGTCAATTATTCATATGCCACAGACAACTCTTACAAACCAGCTGGGGCACCCCTGGTCTTCAGACATCAACACAGCCACAAACCCACACGTTTGTGATTTCCAACTTCCTTCCACCAAGGAACAGCACAGAATGGCTTATTTTTAAATTTTTTTTTTTTAACGCCGATTTTAATTAGAGAAAAAAATATACAAAAAAAATACAAAAAAAACAAAAATACACAGTATTCGGGGGCAGCACATGGGGGAAGAGAGAGAGAAAGAGAGAATACATCCCCGTTCTCATCTAAAGCATTTTCCAGGCAATGGTTAGCATGCTATCTCTTCCTGCTGTTAGTAAGTTCCTCCCTCCGTATCAGTGTTTCCTGCCACCACTGTTGTTACCAGTACTTCTCTTCCACCTCCCAGACCCTAGAGAAAACAATCAACACCTGTCGGGTTCATACGGCTAATACTGCATATTAACAAGTACCTTTAGAGAGAACGCTCTTTGCAGGGCACCTGCTGGCTCAGTCGCTTAAGTGTCCACCCTTAGCGGGGAATCTGAGAGTCTCTCTCTCTCCCTACCTCTCCTCCTCCACTCTGTCATCACTCTCTAAATAAATCTTTATAAGACAGAGAAAGAGATCCCTATATGATTCTTTTCTCTTTGTAGTTTTGTGTATCCGAAAAGCCTTAAGATGGCACAAACTTGCCACATTCGTTTTTTTTTTAACTTTTTTTTTTTTTTTTTTTTTAGTTTTTAAGTAATCTCTACACCCAACATGGGGCTCAAACTTACAACCCAGAGCATCAGGTGGCACAAGCTCCGCCAACTGAGGCAGCCAGACGCCCCTACTTTTTATTTTTGTTATTACAGAAGTACTACTGGTTCCAAGTATTTTAGATTTTCCTAATTATTGACAAGGAAATCTTCCACATAAAGATGCCACCCTGAGGGTACAAATTTCAGTGTTAAATACACTTAATAAAAGTTTAGTTGTTCTTTTTCAAAATGCATGTTGTTGGCATTTCATAGACAAAGATGATTGTGTATTTAACATTCTATATATTTAATAAAATGGGCCCTAATCATGGCTACAGGAGTCGGTGAGTGCTTTCATCTTCTGTTCACTCAAGAGATAATTGTGTTTGCACAATAAACGAAATAACTGCATCCCATGCTATGTAAACATTAGATATCATTACCATTCCTGTGTTCACCATAGGTCCAATTATCGGAGTTTTCAATCTGAACCAATTAGCACCCTATCATTTTAGGATCCCTACAAACCTTAAATCAAAAGCCAAGAACTGCTGCTTACCAAAAATGCCTCTGCCAATCTATTTTGTTCACCCGTGCTCTGAGAAAAAAAGTCACGATTTTATTAAGAATAACTTCGATTCAAGCACTTGCAATAAAATCCACCCCACAGGCATAGCAATATTTTCCATCTCCAGGGCCCTTGTTTTGCAAACCAGTAAAACTTTGTTTTTATATAAACCCCCCCTTCCATAAGGTTACATTTTTTGACTTCACACTATAAAGACTTATTCCTCAAGAAAAATAAATTTCATGGCAAAATACTACATTGTGATTGGTATCATGAGAGGGGATTTCAATAAAGCAATAAGCTTCCACTCAGACACTGATGTTCCTTGAAGTGGAATGTTATCTGTCTATAGCGAGGGCGGCAGGGTTGTTCTGGACTCGTTGCTAGTTAGCTAAAATCTGTCTCACTCTGAAGTACCAAAGACTCTTACTTGAAAGTAAATGTTTCACTACCTGTCTGTTCCTAGGACCCCCTCCTTTGCCTTACCCATTAATCCAAAGCCCTGAGTATCCCTCTCAAGTCACCAAGCACAGTATCTCCTCCTTGTCGGTCTGCCACCTTTTTCCCAAAAGGGGAAACACTTCAATTCTTAATTTTTAGTGGGCCTAGGAGTGATTAAAGAAAGTGTGTGGAGGGAAGCCTGAGTGGCTCAGTCAATTAAGCAGCTGCCTTCGGCTCGGGTCATGATCCCAGGGTGCTGGGATTGAGTCCCACACCAGGGTCCCTGCTCAATGGAGAGCCTGCTTCTCCCTCTCCCTCTGCCTGCTGCTTTCCCTGCTTATGCACACTCTCTCCCTGTCAAATAAATAAATGCAATCTTAAAAAAGAGAGAGAGAGACTGGAAGAAAGGAAGGAAGGAAGGAAGGGGAAAAGAGTGTGGAATCACCAAGCTTGGGGTATTTTAAAGTAAGCCTGACAGTCATGAGTCCAAGAAAGGAGACCTCTTCAAACTCTCTGATACTCATATCCTTTGAGGGGCTGCCATGGCCACCAGGCTGGGGGTAAACACTCAAACCAGCCCACTAGGCAGAGAAGGCAAAGGGGAGGGAGGCTTCCTTACCAGGACCATCTAAAGTCTTTCCACTCCAGAATTTACTAAAGGACCACAGGAAAAAGGAAATAATCCTGACTTTTTCTGATATTTGGTAAAGGGAATAGTGGAAAACTTTCAACAGAACACAGAAAAGGTGAATAATAGTTGACTCTGAGCACTGACTCCAAGCTAGAACCACGGAATTTTAAAAATTCAATTTTAAAAGGGGCCATGGAGGGATGCCTGGGTGGCGGTCTGTTATGCACCCGTCTTCAGCTCAAGTCATGATCCCAGGGTCCTGGGATCGAGTCCCACATCGGGCTCCCTGCTCAGGAGGAAGCCTGCTTCTCCCTCTGCCTGCCGCTCCCCACTATTTATGCACACTCTTTCTCTGACAAGTAAATGGATAAAATCTTTAAAAATAAGTAAAGAAGAGGAGCTATGGAGATTATCTAATCCAATGTCCTCACAATGCTGACAAAAAAAAAAAAAAAAATCAGCTCAGATAACCATGTGTACAACCCAGCCATGGAAAGCATCTAGTTCTCTTTTGCATCTGAATGACCAGATTCATTTCCTGACATCTAGGTCTGTAGGAACCATAGAACAGATGAGAGAACGTTAAAGATCTGACAAGTTCCTCTAGCATCGCAGCACCTGATAGAGAATGCAAGCCAGGTAGGAGAGCCACACACATTTTAAATGTTCTAGTAGCTACCTTCAAATGGTAAAAAGAGGCAAAATTAATTTTAATATATTATTTAATCCAATATATTCCATTTCAGCATATAATCAATATCAAAAATTAAGATATTTTGCTTTCATACTACAACTTCAAAATCCAATAGGCATTATACATTGACAGCCCGTCTCAATTAGAAATAACACATTTTGAGGCACCGGGGTGACTCAATCGGTTAAGCGTCCAACTCCTAATTTCAGCCCAGGTCACCATCTCAGGGTCGTGAGATCGAGCCCCATGTTAGGCTCCACACTCAGCACAGAGTCTGCTTGAGACTCTGTCTCTCCCCCTGCCTCCTCCCCACCCCCACTCATACACACACGCCCTAAATAAATACATAAATAAATAAAATCTTAAAAAAAAAAAAAAGGAATACCACATTTCAAGGGCTTACTAGCCCCCAATGGTGGTGGCTAGTAGCACAATCTGGAATCTGAAGGTTCACAAGAAACAAATGCCAACCCTTGGATGCCAGCGTTCTCCGCAAGTGGAAGAAAGAACAACGTACCTAGAAATATTTTTCTTGATTCATATCGTATTTATCTCCTGCTTGGACTCTCTGACTTGCCTTCCTGGGACATAAACAGAGGGCTTAAGGGACAGGAAAAATTGAATTTTCCTCTAATTCTTCTCGCTCCACAGAGCCAAGCTTCAGTTCCACATGCCTGTGACACTCTCCAGAGCTGCCCTCCTTCCTGCCGCTTCCATATTCCCAAAATGCTTCTCCTTCTTCAAGGCCCATCTTGCAAGCCACGCCTACCACCACCACCACCCTTGGAAGCTGCTAAGAATGTGACTGCACGGGGCGCCTGGGTGGCTCAGTGGGTTAAAGCCTCTGCCTTCAGCTCAGGTCATGATCCTGGGATCCTGA